TTACGACAAAAATGGCTGTGATCCAGAGAAAGTTCGTCTTCGTTGGCGAGAGAGTTGCAAAAGACCGAACTGTAGTTTTCCAGCATGCGCTGCACAGGGTTTGTGTCTCAAAGATCTGCAGGCACTGTGTCTGGATTTTTGGAAATTGTCGTCAGAGGACCGTGTGCATCTGCTGCAGTCCACATATGGTGAGTGTGATTCGACCAAACATCCTGCAGATGCAAAGAGTGGAACTTCCAAACAGTCCCACAGTCCTTCAGTCCCGAAGATTACAAGGAGTTATGTGATTGGGGACAGGCAAGTCTGTTTTTTGAATTTCTGCCGCAAGATTGGCTGTGGCCAATCCACCATGCGTAAATACATCAAGGGTGTTCCAGACGGAAGAAGAGCTGGTTTTGCTGGTCACAAACTTGGGAATCAGTGCAAAGAAGCATATGCTGTAGTCAAATGCGACCACTTTTTCCGGGAGTTGCACCAGTCTGTGGCCGAGTCAATGCCAGAGGACGACGAGGCTGTCATTGACGACCCATGGGACCAGGACTGCAGATCATCACATTTTATTTCAGTTTGTGTTTGGTTGAATTTATAATTTGATTGCCATTGTGTGACAGATCATTGCCAGTTCAAATGTTGACAGGACAGCCTCTATGCCCATGTTTCTCCTCCAGTGACAGCCTCATGCTTGGGTACTTCAGGTGGTCTCCCCAGAAGATACATCCAAAAGTGCAAAATCTCGGACCTCTACTGGCAATTTCAGGCAGAGTGGAGTGTCCTGCAAGAGGCACACCCAGAGTTTGGTTCAGACATTCCGTCTTATGACACTTTTCGCAGAAGATGGAACAGTCACTGGTCAAACATGCTGCGTATGCGTGAGAAGTCTCAGCACAAACAGTGTCAGATCTGTTTTGACCTGCAGCTTATTCTCCACAGTCCTGCAGTCTCGTGGTCCAAAAAGATGGAGGCTGCGAAGACCTTACGCAGACATCATCAGGAACAATATGAAGACCGAGTTTTGTACTGGTCACTTCGGTTTGCTTCCCAAACCCAAGCAGCTTCTCCATCAGATGATGGTTTGCCACCATGTGGATCTGGATCTGTTCTGACAATTATCATTGATGACATGGACCACAGCAAATTTGCATGGCCCAGATGGGGTTTCCGCAAAGTCCCACATGAGTTAGACAATGTTGCCAGACCGACAGTCACATTTACTGGTGCCATTGCCCACGGATGGGGGACATTCTTGTACATGGCCAACCTCAACATCATTGGAGGTGCAGACTATTTTTGTGAAGTGCTCTCACAATCTATTGAGAATATTTGGAAGATGTGTCAGTCTGACAGTCCGACAGGCCCACAGTCCAACAGTCTGCAGTCCGACAGTCTGCAGTCCAAGCGTGTGTTTCCTGCACATTTGGTGGTTGTGGCTGACAACACTGTGAAAAGTGCCAAGAACCAGTTTGTGATTCGATATCTGTCCTACTTGGTCGGGAAGAAGCTGTTCAAGTCTGCAACTCTATTCCACCTTATGGTGGGACACACGCATGAAGATATTGATCAGCTTTTTGCTGTAGTATTCTCCATCATGAAGCGCAAGTCCACTTGGCAGACACCCCAAGAAATCTTGGACTAC